AACAGGTGGAGGGAGAAGGCGACAGCTGTTTTCGCCCCTGTCTGGAGGTTTTCGGCGAGTCACAACAACACCGACAATGCAGCTGACGTTATCGACAGTTCGAGTTCAACTTTGAAAACATATTTGCGAGGTCAGGGGGGAGAGCAGCAGCTATTTTTCGCCTCTGCCCGGTACTCCTCGGCGAATATCGACAAAAGCCTCGGCGAGTCTGGACAAGACTGCCAGGGGCGCTGACAGCTGGAGAAGCTACAGAGAGGATTTTCGACACTACAACAAGACAAACGGCAGCAATTTCGGGACTGCAGCAGCTGACAACTGAAGATACTGCGGCAGCAGGGTGATTCGGTGCTGCCACGCGGAGATATTTGGGTGGCGGTCTTTTCCAAGAGGTGGGAGAAAGTGCTCTCGCACTGTACTTGTCAGTTTTTTCTGACTTTTTGTCTGACAGATTCAGCACGACGGACGCTCGCGATCACATCAACGACATCGACGGGTCCTGCTTCATCGACTTCTAACAACGCGTCAGCATATCCGCCCACGACGTGTTCATCTTGACCGTCCGACAGAGATCCACCACATCGACGGTTCTTATTCATCAACGGCTTTTCAACTCGACATTCGAATTCAACCGCCCGATCGTTATCGGCAGTATCAACGGCTGACATTCCAACTCTTTGAATTTCGCCTGGTCAACGCGTTCAGCCACGCGTCAACTTCACAGTCAACGACGTCTACACCGTCAGATCCGTTTCAACCGAGGTCTGCAGTTTTCACGCTACTGCAAGACTCGGCTCCGTATAAGGGGGCCTTATCTAGAAGGTGGGAGAGTGTAATGAATATGCAATTCATTACTGTAGAGGCTGCTCCTAGCGAGAACAGCCCGAGCACTTCGCGTCAGGATGGCTCGTCCTATACTTTCGCACCGAGCCAATTCCGAGTCGCCCCGCACCAATCGCGACATTTCCGAGCCACGCACATCTAGAGGTTCTCACCTAGCTAGTTTTCGCCCTATATATTCTCGCTTTCTTCATTGTTTCGTCATTCTGTAATCACGTCTTCTTTATAAAGTCTTCCGCGCACTCTGTCTAGTAAAACTCATAACAGGTGTTATAGAAAATCAGCCAAAAAGGGGGGTATAGTAGAAACGAGGTCTATCATAACACCCACCCCGCACAAGCTACCCGGGGGTGTACAATTATGGGGGGGTGTTTTGTCCGGGAGTATACGGTATATGTGTATTTGATGAATCGATGGTACCATATTTGTTTAAGACTGCATTTGCAATGCTTCATGCATCACTACAGCCAAAGCTATTGTAGGGTATGACTTAGATGCACTCAAATCAGAATACCAAGAATGGTGTGTCACGAAACTGAGGCAGACTCGCAAGAAATAATATGGTACGTATGAGCAAGCATGGTTTCAGGCGTATTCTTGAAAGTTAGCATGGCCCGTTGCTTGTGCATGTTGCACAGCTTCCTGCATGGGACACATCGGGCAGGGAGTCACAGAACAAGTTTCAACACACAACTCATGGAGAGATGAAAAATGAGTGCATGGATGATTGGTTGATGACTGCATAATTCGTGAGACATGTCAGATGCACCCACACATTGATGAATAGTTGGCCAGAGAAGAAGAAGCACAGCAAGAGATGCAAGCATCTAGCGGAACTATGTGTTGAGCACAACTGGGATGGGAAGAGGGCAATTAGCCATACACTGCCTCACCTTCTGTCCCACCAGCCCTTGCTGGCACACCACACAGCGAAGTGCAAAACGTGCCGTGTCCGTAAAGCTCTTGGCCCTGCACACATGTACAAACAGACCCATACATGGTCAGAGACACGAATCTTGAGGGACAGCCATCTCTAGGAGATTTCTCAGCAATAACGCGCAGCCTCCCCAGCCCAGGCGTGGCTTACCTGTGGGCGGCGTCCACCAGGGCCTCTGCACTGCGGCGCACAGCGGGAGGGAGGGGATGCGCTGCAGTGGCTGGGAAGATGGTCTGATCAAAGTCCTCTGGCGCTCCCTCACACGGGGAGAGCTGCCGGGAGGAGGGGGGGTGGGTGGCGGATGGATGGTATGGGAGGAGGATGGATGCAGGAAGGAGAGGAGTAAGAAGCTGACTCGAAAGAATGGGAACAACGACTAGCGAGATGTGTTTTAGTGGAGTCGTGGTCTGCATGTGAGTGCATCTTATGTGTATGGCACGTGCACAGCATGTGCACGGCATGTGCACGGCATGTGCACGGCATAAGGACCACAGCAGCGTACCGCAAGGGCATCGTAGTGAATGCCATCGTATATGAGCATGATGGTCTCGCTGTACGGCTTGTCCTGGCACCAACACACAGGTCGGGACATGGGTGTGAAGCGTGGGGCAGGGGACAGGCAAAATACATAGAATGAAGACTGCGGCAATTAGAAGCGAAACGGGGGGAATATGAGGCGGAGAAACGTGATGGGATTCTCAGACACCTAAAGAAAAGAGACGTGACTATGTGCCAGCGATTTCAAAAGTATCTCCCGAGGACAGACACATACATGTGGTGTGCGTTGCTCATCCACTCACCTGCCCATACACGTCGCATCGCTTTGTTTGGATGTCAAAAGCGGCAATCTTCTTGGCGAAATGATCGGACAGGATGGCTAGCTCGATGCCACCTGATGGTGCCATGGCAGGCACACATGCGCATGTGGGATGAGGTGGGACAAGGCCGAATCGGAACATGTTGAGCAAGCTGTCCGAATATGGTCAAACATGGTTAGATATGGTTAGCAACAGGCAAACACACCGCGGCAAGATAAGGAGCACAGCTCTTACAACTCTGTCCTCCCCATCTCCCCTGAACCCCCTCTCCCCCCATTTTACCCCAACCCATTGTTCCCCCATACCACCCCTCCTACACCAAACGCTCTCCTCTCGCCTCCACATCTCACCCCACCTCTGCCTCCCCCTCCGTGCAGCCCAGCAGCACAGCACGCACCGCCCCAGGAGTCAGCGCGGGCGATCCACTGGCAGTAGGCGGCGTTGGGCTTGTCCAGCACGGCCTCTGTGAAGCGCTGCTCGTCCCCCGCCACCACGCGCGCTATCACCTACGCGGAGGAAACGCTTTCGTGCATGGGATGATTGCGATGCGATGCATGCATAGGTATGTGCAGCCCGGCACATGGTGAAGCACATGCGAACATGCGGCAAGGTCAGGCGAGAGAGAACAGTGTGGTGGGCAGGGATAGGAACATACCTGCCGCAGCTGCGCGCCCTTGTCTCGACTGCGCTCCGTCACGTACCTGCGTGCACACAGGCCGGCTCCCCAGAGGAGCCAGAGATGCGTTCATGGATGATGCAATAGTGGATGATGGATGATGCGTTAGTGTATGATGCGATAGTGGATAACGAGAACGATGTAACACATGAGGTGTAGAGACGATGACGGAAGAACGTAACGGAGTTGAGGAGACAAACGAGCCAACTGTCAGGCAGGATGTGCAGAGACAGGGAGACGGGGAGATGGGAGGGACGGGGAGACGGGGGGACGGGGAGGCGGGGAGGCGGGGTACGGAGAGATGGAGGGACGAGTTCTCGCGACGACGCGCGCATGGTACAGACGGCCGGTCTGCGCTGGGGCGGCGATGGCGCACGGCGTGCTGTGCTCACCCGACGGCGTTGAAGAGGCAGCTGTTATCGGCGTCCATCACGCGCCGCACCACCACGCCCTGCTCCTCCATCGCCGCCGCCTGCTGCGCTACTCTCGCCGCACGTGGCTCTGGTCTGATCACGTGGCTTTAAACGTACGCGTGCCACCGGGTTGACCAAGCGCGTACTGTTTCACAAATTTCCTGCGCGGTTTCTCTCAGCGGCGACCTACAAAATCGTCGCTGGCAGGGACGTTCGCTGCGACGGGCACGTGGCGGATTGGAGACCACTCGCGGGCAGACCATGCGGGTGAGGCGTTACGGGCAGGGATTTGAGGATAGCGGGGTAAAAATTCTGACAGTTTTCAGCAGACCTGCTTTGTTTAGGCGACGAATCTGGTGTGCGAGTCTCGTGAATGATCGTCGAATCGGATGGTCTTGATTTGTCAGATGAAGCGATCGAGAGCGACTTTGGCCCATTTGCCCGTGCACGAACGCCAGGGCTGGTTACTGTTGACGTAATGTTACGAGCTACACTTTCTGTAGGTATATCGCGTAGGAGATAGCACCAGAAACAGCCAGTATCCACCAGATTTCCCACATTGCACCCGTGCCCCCCGCGCTTTGCTTGCCTTCCGCCCAGCCTCTCCAAATTCCCCCTCAGTCACAGCGGTTGTTGCGCGTCCTTCCCCGCACTCACGGTCGTTGCGCCATCGAGCGCGATCCACCCCGCGCCCTTGATATCTCCGTCCGCGCCCCAGCCTATCCACCAACCACCATCCCAGTGACCCACCACCACTATCCCCCAACCAACCAACGCCCAGTCTTTAGCTGTTTCGTCCCAACTCTCAAGTCCCAACCCGACGCGCATCGCCTCGCCGCGCTATCGCCCACATTACTCCCACCCGCTCCAAGCACGGCTGTCTGCGTGTCGTGATCCTTGAACCAGGGGGATGCGGCGCGGATGAATCAGTGCGTATCTGTTGCGCGTCGCTAGATAGGTCCTTCTTCATTCCTCCATTCATTCACTCCTTCACTCCTTCATTCCTCCATTCCTCCACGCGTCCAATGCGCGCGGGACCAACGCGAGAGAGGCGCCTCGGAGCGCGCCCTGACGGCTTCGAGGGCTTCGAATGGACGCTGCCGGACCGCCACACGCTCCGAGCCGCCTCCGCGGCCGCCAGCGGCGCCATCAGCGGCGGTAGCAGCAGCGGGGGGAGCGTCGGCGGCATCTTCTCCCGCGGCGGAGGTCAGTCAGGAGGGCCTCCCGTGGGGCGCAAGGGCAGCGCGGGTAGCGGCGGGATCGGCGGCGGATCGTCGTCACCTCGGTGCTCGATCTGCTCGTTACTATGCTGCACGTGCATGCTTGTCGCATCGGCCGTTATTCTCCTCACGCTGCTGCTTGCATACGCGCACCCGCGCCTGCCGTCGAACGTGCGCCTGCATCAGCAGCCCCGCGCCGCCCACCGCCACGCGCGGCAGGCGCAGCTCTTGCGCGGAGCATCGGTTGGCGCAGGGGGGATCGCGTCGCGGCTGCGCTCCGCCGTAGTGGGCGTGGATTTATCTCCGGAAGAGAGCGTGTGGGCGTCCGGGGGCGGTATTATCGGGGAGTTGGGGAGCGCGCGGAAGGAGCGGTCGCAGCGGCGGAACCAGATCCAGGGGGGCAAGATGGGGAAGGTCGCGGCAATGGGGAAGCAGCAGCGGCGGGCGGGCTTCGACGACGGTTACGATGGCTTAGCTAAGCGGACATTCGATCGGACGGGCGGAAAACGCGGTGGTTGGCAGCAGCGCGAGGAGGAGGTCCGCGCGGATTCGGAGGGAATGGCGGAGGAGGCGGAAGAGGCGGAAGAGCTAGACGAGGTGGAAAAGGGGATGCATTTGGGGGAACACCGCGGAGGTGGGGGTAATCGGGGGAGCGCGTCCGCGTGGGCATCAGGGGGGGAGTGGAAGCGAGGAAGCGGAAGCGGAAGGGCCGCTGGTGGTAAAACCGCGAGAGGCGGGACCGACGATGATGATAATGAAGAGGAGAAGGAGGAAGAGGAGGAGAAGGATGAGGATGAGGAAAATAAGGAGAGGCGCGGAGGGGGCGGAGTGGTTGCGATGGAGGCGGAAGCCGCGGAAGGAGATGCGGGGGAGGCGCATGCGGGGGGAGAGAGGGTGAGGGGGGAAGGTGACATTAACGGGGATGATGCCGGGCGTGATAGTAACGAGGTCAGCGGCGCCAGTGGTGGTGCGGGTGTACGGAAGGGGAGGGGGTATAATAGTGAGGTGGGGAGGCGGAGGGGGAAGGGGAAGGGGAGACGAGGCAGGCGCGGCGTGGGGAGGGGGGAACATGACGTGGACATTCGGCGGAAGGTAAGCAGGCGGTATGTGGATGATGGGGGGGAGGGGGAGGAGGAGGGGGAAGAGGCGGAGGAAGAGGAAGCGGAGGAGGGGGAGGTTCATGGGGGGAAGCGCGGTAAGGCCCGCGCTGTGGTGCATGGGGAGGGGGAAGATGAAGAGGAGGAGGAGGAGGGGGATGTGGGGGGAAGGAAAACGCGGAGGGAGGGGAAGAGAGGGTGGGATAAGGCGGGGAGGGGTACACGAATGAGTGCAAAGAGAGGAGCAGAGGAGGAGGAAGAAGGGAAGGAACGTTCTGACTCAGATGCTGACGTGGACGGTCTGGATGCGATCCTGAAGGTGCTCGAAGAGAAGGCGAGGAAGCGCAAGGCGCGGGGGAAGGGGGGGCGTGGCGGGGAGGTGGGGAAGAGTGAGCGCCAGGCGCGGAGGGGGAAGGGATCCATCCGACGGGCAAGTGAGACAGAGGGGGATGAGGCGGAGGAAGAGGAGCAGAGGAAGGTAAAAGGGAAAGGGAGGAGGAAGGGGAAGGGAGAGGATGGGGAGGACGAGGGGGAGGAGGAGGACGGTGAGGGAGAGAGTGAAGGTGGAGATGGGGATGAGAGGATGCAGCATGGTTCTGCGGACTTGAAACAAGGAAAGGGGAGAAAGACGGAGAGGGGAGGTCATGGTGCAGCAGGAGAGGCAATCGAGGCAGCAGAGGATGAGGACCAGGCATTTGGGAAAACGGCAGGGGCACGATCAGTGGACGGGCAAGGCGCAGAGGCAGGGGTTGCGGCGCAGGTGAAGGGGCGCCGGCAGCAGCAGGGGCCGGGGGGGCAGGTTGCGGGGGATGGGGCGGTGGGGGAAAAGGGGAAGCACGAGCTGGATTCGCTATTGGAGGGGATGGGGATGGCCGGGGGGGAGGACGGCGGTACTGCTGCGCTGCATGGGGAATCACGCGAGGCCGATGCTATAAGTGCTGCCGGTGGTGTTGGTGCTGACAGTGGTGTTGGTGATTCTGCTGGTTTTGGCACATCAAGTTCTGGTACTGCTGCGACTGACGCTGGTGGGGAAACGGCTGGTACCAGGAGCAGCAGCAGCAGTGGTGCTGACAGTGCTAGTACGGCTACAGGTGCTTCTGCTGCTGCTGCTGATAATGCTGATGGGGATGATGATGATGGTGATGATGATGCTTCGGGTGCTGGTGCCGCTGATGGGGCTGCTGTTGTTCATCTAACAGCTTCCGGTGGTAGCATTAGCAGCAGCAGTGGGTCTGACTTGCAGGGAGTGAATCGTGGCCGAGAAGAGGGTGACGGAAGAGATGGGGCGAGGGATGGGGAGAGTGAGAGAGAGGGGAACAGCAGACAGCAGCAGGTGAGTGGGGATGAGAGGGAAGGTGGAGGGGTAGGGGAAGGGGGAGCTAAGGAAAGGGCGGATAGTTTGGGGGAGGGTGGTGGAAACGGGGAGACAGCAGGGAATGGGGTATCGGGGGAGGGAAGAATAGGTGAGAGCGCAGCAGGGTATGGTGCAGAAGGGGAGGGGCGAAGAGGCTTTGGGGAAAGGGTGGAAGGAGAGAGAGATGTGGAAGGAGGAGACAACAGAGGGGAGGATCGATCGAGGACAGCCAGAGGAGCGGAGGAAGGAATGGAAGAGGGCACAGGGAATGCTGATGGATTGGTTGCTGCTGGCCGGACAGAACAGGTGGATCAGGAGGGAATTAGAGAACGAGCAGGAGGGACCGATGGAACAGCAGGAACAGAGGGGAGAGGGGTAGGCATGGATAGTACAGGTGCTGCTGCTGGGGAGGGAGGCCTAGAGGACGAGACAGAGCGGCCGCAAGAGGAGGCGCTGAGGGGGAGTGACAGGGAGAGGGCCTATGCGATGGGTCTGCTTTCAAACAGGGTGGAGCAGAGGGATAGCAGGGAGGGCGGAAGGGAGGAGGGTCACATGCCAGAGGGCTTTGAGGGAAGAGGAGCTGGAAACAGGGGAGTGGAGGAGGGGGTGGGAAGTGGAGGTGAGGGAGGGGGAGGTAGGGGTGGTGGGAGGGAGACTGAGAACCCTGCACAATCTTTCTACGAGCAGCAGATGCTGAGGGAGCAGGAGGATGCTGCTCACAGGATGGGGTACAATGGCGAGAGGGAAGCAGGGGGGCGGGAAGCAGAGGGGCGGGAGACAGATGGCACTGCAGCAAGCAAGGACATGCAGCAGACTGGAGGGGTAGGAGCAGGGGGTGGCCGGGGTCGTGGCGAGGAGGAGGAGGACGAGGGGGATGAGGGGCTAGGGGTGGTGGTGCAGGCTGGGGTGGATGGCGAGGGTCAGGGGCAGGGCGCTCTGAGGGAGCTGCTGGCAGAGAGTTCAGAGGGAGATGCAAGTGACGGGTCAGCAGCAGGCGCACTGCATCATCATCAACAACAGTACCGTAACTTTCATGTTTATGCTGCCACCATAGCACATGGTTAAGGGTTATATTAGTATTGGTAGTCCCATTCGGATTTCCTGACTTCTGCACACAGTACAAGCATTCCGTTGCATGGATTATCTATTGCTGGTTTACTACACTATCAAGATTTCCACCCATTCTCTTCTGGACTTGTTGGCTGGCTTGATGGGTTGTGTACTTCACCCCGGGGTACAGTGAAAAGCTTAGGTTGCATGGGTTCAGCATAAAGTACCTCCTACTGCCCGCATAGAGATAGCACAAAGAAAGAGTTCAGACAGACTTTCTTGTCAAGCAAATACCAGTTGATCAGGTCAGGCTCGGTTTAGCAGGGTGGCAATGGTGTGGTGGGGCAAGCCAGGCCACAAGACGGATCAGTTCAGGTCACTGCTATGAAAAAAACATACGTAGAACTTAAGCTGTGTGGATGGGAAGGACAACCACCACAGCATCATCACCACCATTCTGCACTGCAACATCACCATGTGCCTGTGCCACTGATTACCAAGTTACCGCACGGCTGCACTGGGGTGCACTTGCTGCCTGCAACAAAAGGAGTCACAAAGCAACATGTCCCACCCACCCCACCCCACTCTTCCCACCACCGGTTTTCCCTCCTCTTCCCTCTAAGCTGTTAATTACCACTGTTGTGCCGGTGCAGATTGGCCATTTCCGCCTCTCCCCTCCCCTCCTCTTCCCCCGGGTCCTCATCATCTCCCTGTTCCTGCTCCACCATCTTCTGATACAGACTGTAGATCCGCCGCTGCTTGATCCACGTCACCACCCACACCACCGACAGCACCACAATCAGCACGCCGCCCAGCGCCATCAGGAACACATACTGCCAGCTGAGCATGTCAGCAGAGATCACGAAAATGGTCTGCTCGCATGGGCCAGCAGTGACGGGCGCAGGCAGCTTGGCGGCGCCGGGGAGCGCGTCGTTGCAGCGCCTGGGGTGGCGCCAGCGGTGGGAGGAGTTGTGGCGGCCCTGCGCGTCCGTGCATGAGTCCTGAATGGCCTCGTAGTCAGCTTCCGTGCACGGCTGGCATGGGATGTCCTGTGGCAGTGGCAGCTGCGCGTTCGCCTGGCATGTCTGTTAGTTGTGGTGGGAGAGGAGATGCGGCGAGCGGGAAGAGGAGGGGTGGTGAAACCGCGTGAACTGTAGATCCGAGACCGAAAAGTGGATAAAAGTCGAAATCACAGAGAGACAGAAGATGATCACAGTTCGGGGGGTGAGTGGAGGGGTGGGAGGGGGTAGCGGAGCAGACGCAAAACCAGGGAAACAAACAACGAAGTGAATCCCAGGAGAGTGAAGCCCAGGAGAGTGAATCCCAGGAGAGTGAATCCCAGGAGAGTGAAGCCCAAGAGAGTGAGTGAGAGGAGTGAGTGATGGCGCACGCACCTTGGGCTGCTTGTACTTGTAGGTGGCATACTTGTTATCCACACAGCCCGACACCTCCACGAGCTCATAGTCATCCATGGTGCACATGGGGCATGCATGCGCCGTGTACCACACCATCTCCATCACACATGCACTCTCGTCGCCGATGGGCAGCACCACGCCCCCGCGCACCACCCAGCTGGGGAAGGAGAGGCTCGGGTCCACTGCTGCCGCCTTGCCCTTGTCCGTCCATGCCTCCGGGGCGCCGTAGCCTGAGGGGAGAGGGGTGAGGGGAGAGGGGAGCGGGGAGCGGAAAGGGGGGAGAGGGGAAAGGGGAGGGGCGGGAGGAGTTGACAGGGAAGGGGAGAGGCAGTGAAGGGGGAATGCAGTTAGGTTGTTAGCCCTAATTCACCTGCTCCAGAACATCCAAGCAGCCATACCAGTACAATCAATCCCTCTCCCAGCCACAGAAATCCCACGAATGAGCCAGCACGGGGGACGTGTGCTACAGAAGTCCTATCTATGCCATCCACCACCATGTCATCTCCACCATCGCACCCCCACCCCAGCACGGCACCTCAGCACGGCACCCCAGCACGGCACCCCCAGCCTGGCACCCCCAGCCCAGAATATTGCCGCTGAAAGGCCCGAGGTGCAGGGCGGTGAGCGTGGGCACGCACCGGCATCGGGGTCGCAGATGAAGGAGATGTTGGTGGCGCGCAGCATGCTGTTGCCCGCACACAGCGACCCCTCCAGGGACATCACAAACCCCCTGCGCTCCAGCGCCGGGTGCGCCCCCAGCGGGTGCAGCGATATGCTGTCACCCAGACTCACTGCCCTGCGCCGAGGGCCTTCCAGGGGTGACCTCGGGTTGACCTGTGGAGGGGGACAGAGATTGGGGGGAAACGGGGAGGGAGGGGGGGGGGGAGTGGAGGGAGATGAAAGAGGGGGGGGGGGGGGAGGATGTCGTGGAAAACGAAAGGCGGGGGCGAGAAATCGGGGAGGGGGACTGGGGTGACAGAGGGGCAGGAGAGAAACCCATTTCACCCAGCAACCCACACCATCACGAACCAAAGCCCCAATTTTCCTCCAGCCATTGCTCTTACCCGGCAGGCATATGTATTAAGGGAGCCTCCTCGGGGGGCGTAGCAGGTGGCATTGGTATTGTCCCGCATGCACACGCTCACATAGTACAGCGACCGCTGCTCCCTATCCGGAGCCGTAGGGTCGTCATAGATCGGCCCAAACATTTGGTCCGGGTGCAGGCGCGCGAGAGGGGAGAGGTCAAAGACCGTGAGGCGCGAGGAGTTGAATGCGGTGGGAGGCGGTGTGTAGTGGCAGAAGGAGGTGGGGATGTAGACGTCTCCCACGGTGCACTCACTGCTGCCCTCCGCTGATGACGTGCCCTCGCCACATGGCTCACATGACTCCTCTGTGCCCTGCCATGGTACCATGGCATAAGGAATGGGCGACATGTGATGGGTGATGGGTGATAGGTGATGGGGGATGGGTGACGTGTGATGTGTATCGAGAGGGGGCACACGAGAGGCTGGTGCAAAGAGTTAGACAGAAGACAGAACGGGGAGATGAAGCGGGTTTGGTTGCCACTGGCGGTGTGCAGCACCAGGAACCAGCGACACAGTAAGCACCCCAGGGATCCCACCACTCGCCCGCCACCCCGCACGCACATAAGAGGCCTCGTTGAAGGTGTTGGCAGGGCACTTGGTGCAGTTGTTGGTGCCGCCCTTGCCGTACGTCCCAGGCGGGCATGGCTCCCACCACAGCCCTGACGGCGCCAGGTGTGCTCCCTCTGGCACCTCCTGGCAGCTGGACGCCCCTCCCTGCGCGACGCCTATCACCTGGCAGGGAGGCGTGAGGGGGGAAGAGGGGAGGACGGGGGATGGGGGCAGGAGATGCAGGTCGGGATTGATGTGTGCTGGAAGACATGTCGGGAGGGGTGAGGAGGAGAGAGGAGAAGAGGGGAGGGGAGGGGAGGGGAGGGGAGGGGAGGGGAGGGGAGGGGAGGGGAGGGGAGAGGAGGGGAGGGGAGTAAAGAGAATGGGAGGGGGAAGAGAAGAGAAAGGAGGGCAAACCAAGGCAAGGGAACGCGACGCACTGTGAGGTTGTGAATGACTGCAGAGTCCCTGTCTGCATGCGTGGTGGCCTTGAGCTTCTCCCACATCCACATGAGCTGGTGCTGCCCCGCATCCATGTCCCACATCACCGTCTGCATCTCCGTGGGCTTCAGCGGTATCTGCTTATAGGCACACGCATGCACATGCACACAGGGACGCACATGCACACATGCACACACAGGCATGCACATGCACACAAAGACACACATGCATGCACATGCACTCATGCGCACAGAAAGACGCACATGCATGCACATGCACTCATGCGCACACAAAGACGCACATGCATGCACATGCACTCATGCGCACACAAAGACGCACATGCATGCACATGCACTAATGCGCACACAAAGACGCACATGCATGCACATGCACTCATGCGCACACAAAGACGCACATGCATGCACATGCACTCATGCGCACACAAAGACGCACATGCACGCACATGCACTCATGTGCACACAAAGACGCACATGCATGCACATGCACTCATGCGCACACAAAGACGCACATGCATGCACATGCACTCATGCGCACACAAAGACGCACATGCACGCACATGCAAACCGACATAAAGAACAGGGAAAAGTTTGGGACACCGAAGCAGAAGGAAAGGGAACAAAGAAACGCATCAGCGTTTTGCTAGTCAAAACACCACAACTTCCCCCCGTCCACCCGCCACCTTTCCCTCACCAATCTCTCCCCCCCATCAACTCCCCCCCCGCATGCCCCTAACACACACGCACCTGGATAGTCTCCACCTCCATGCCATCAATAAAGAACTTGAGAGCACGCTGGTCCTGGGAGCCCTCAGGAATATCCACGGTGTAATTCGCCATGACCTGCCCGTCCACCTCGAGAGTCACATTCAGCGCCAGCCACACGCGCACCGTGGCCCCATGGCCCAGGCCCGAGTCCAGCACCCCCCCCACCATGCGCCAGGAGTAGGACCCGCAGTCGCCCGTGCAGCCCGAGGTGAAGTTGGCCGGGAGGCCGTTGACGGAGGGCGAGGCGAAGGAGGAGGGCGAGGCTGGGGTGGGGTTGGTGAGGTGCGCGAGGGAGAACTCCTTGACTGCCACGGAGCCCGGCTCGCATGGCTCGCAGATCTCTGTCTGCGTTGTGTTGTCTATGGCCTTGGCTGTGCCCTGGGGGAGGGGGTTGGGTGCAGGGAGGGGAGGGAGGGAGGGAGGGAGGGAGGGAGGGAGGGAGGGAGGGAGGGAGGGAGGGAGGGAGGGAGGGAGGGAGGGAGGGAGGGAGGGAGGGGAGGGAGGGAGGGAGGGAGAGCGGAGGAGGGGAGGGCGGGAAGGAGGGAGAGAGGAATGGCGGTAAAGAAGAGAAGTACAGAACAAGAACTGAAGAGTAGTGGAAGGGAGAGCACAAAAAGAGGACAAAAGCCAGAAGGCAGAGAGCAAGAGAGGCGCATGGGGCGGAGGAGTGGGAGGGGGTTGATCTCGGCAGGGGGGTGAGGGAGACAGTAGGGTTGCTGGATAGGACCAGAAGAAAACAATGAAGTGAGGAAAACAGAGAGTGGTGAGGCAGGTGTGGGGAGGAGCCATACCGGAGGGCAGAACTTGCAGATGATGGTGTTGTTGACTCGTAGCACTGCTGATACCTGCCCTGACGGGCATGGCGCTGGTGGCACGGGAGGAGCACAGAGAGAGAGAGAAAGAGAAGCAGAGTGAGAGAACGAGCTTGAGAGTGATAGGCGGGGACGGTACAATGTACAATGCTGTGCATGGAAGAACACAGGGAACAGAAGGTTCAAGGAATGGCTAGGGGAACAGGGAAGGGGGCAATGAGAGTGCGAGCATGTGCGTGTGTCAAGGAGATTGTAAGCATACAAGTGCATGTGAACACATTGGGAGCCGGGGGGTAAGCAACATCAGAAATTGCCCAACAGCATGAAGGTGTGGCAGTAGCCGGAAAGGGAGGGGGATGCGGGGTTACAGGATTGCATGCAAGCGTGGGTCATGGGGTGGGTGGGAGGATGGCATGGCGGGGAGGCAAGGCAACGTACGGCACTGCTCGGTTTCATCCGGTGGGAGGGGGCTGTCTGCTGTGGGACTGCAGATGCGAGGCTCCAACCACTTCCACACCTGCCATGTGCCATGCCATGCCACCATGCAATGCCATGCCACCATGCCATGCCATGCCACCATGCAATGCCATGCCACCATGCCATGCCATGCCACCATGCAATTCCATGCCACCATGCCATGCTACCATGCCATGCCATGCCACCATGCCATGCCACCATGCCATGCCACTATGCCATGCCACCATGCCATGCCATGCCACCATGCAATGCCATGCCACCATGCAATGCCATGCCACCATGCAATGCCATGCCACCATGCCATGCCATGCCACCATGCCATGCCATGCCACCATGACATACCATGCCATGCTTTTGCCCATATTCCACACCATTCTCTATCACTCACCCCCCTAACCGCCCCCCTCCCCCCCCCCTCCCCCTCTCCCCACTCTCCTCCCCACCTCACGCACATACATGCACGCATCCACGCAACAGACAGACAGAAATGCACAGAGACGTAAGGAGTGCGCTGAGAGCACAGATAAAGAGCACAAAGGAGGAACACAGCGCTGCAAGGACTCGAAACAAGCAAGCTACGAGGCATGTCAGGTCTGGAAGCACAGTAGGACGAGGGACTTGAACAGGTACGCACAGCAAGGGCGAAAGAGGATGGTGCAAGGACGAGAGGCGGATGAGAGGGGGCAGAGAAGTATAAGAGTGGTGGACGAGGGGTAGAATGAGGTGGATTGAGGTGGATCGAGGTGGACAAGTTGAGTGGGCAGAGGCGCACCTTCTTCCTGGTCTTGGTGGTGGCATCGCAGTCAGAGTAGGACGAGGCAGCATGCTTTTCCACCTGGCAGGCTGTGATTGGTTGCATGGGTGAGCATGGGGAGGGGATCGATGAGGGAAACAAAAGGGCGGTTAGAGGGGCGAGAGAGCGAGAAGAAGCCAGGAGAGGACGCTGAAGGGGGGCCAAGAATGGGCGAGCTGAGACGAGGAACGTCAGAAGGACTCATGACACACTGTGTCAACTTGTCCTGTTCTAATTTCAGGGAAGGGGTGATAAGAAGAGCAAGGGCTTGCATTGGCAGCAACAGTACACTGTACACCAGGGGATGAGAAGGGGTTCTTTAGGGGGGAAGAGATGGGGATGAGAAGGGGAGGCAAAGGGGAAGCGAAGGGGAAGAGAAGGGGAAGAGAAGCAGGCGATGAGAGGATGGGGAGAGACGCACGTGGGCGCTGGGTGCAGTTGGTGCGCGGGGGTTCAAGAGAGTAGGTGCCCTCGGGACAGGGCGTGCACTCGCTGGCTCCCCCTCTGCTCTTACACACATACACAGCCGCACACACCACGTGAGGTAGATGAGGAATGGGATTCCGCGAGGTTGGTGGAATGCGGGAGAGAGAGCAGGGGTGATTGAGAACTGATGAAAATCGAGAGCAACTGATGCTGGGTTAGAGTTAGACGAAAGCGGATAAAATCTGGTCAGGTGAGAGGAATTCTGAGTTCAAATGGATCACAAGAAGCAAAAGTGACAAGGCAACACATGCACATGGTGGAGGGGGATTTGGAGGTGCGTGGGTGGAATGAAGGGAAGTGGGGTGGGAGAGGCAAAGGGGATGGGCGAGACTCACGTTGACATGGTGTCAAGAGGGCACGGGGCGCACTCAGACGCGCCCTCCCCACTGCAACATAGAACAACGGCAGAGAGCGAGGGAGAGGGCGGACAGCGGCACAGGGGGGCAATATGGGGGGTAGAGGGGAGAGAGGGAACGTGGAGGGAGAGGGAAAAAAGGGGAAGAGAGAGGCCAGCCCGCAGGGAAGTGGGAGGGAGAAGGGTTTCGGGTTAAGAGTTTGAACCAAACACGACAGGAGCATGCGAGCCTTCAGGCCTCCTCATCATAGCACCATCTCATGGCACAAGGAAAACAAATGATACGACTGCAGCACATCAATTCCCAGAAAAGAAAGCAGGAAAACCAGGATGAACAGTGAAGATAGATGGAAAGCAGAACGCGAAGAGTGGGGGGTTGGGGTCGGGAGGGTATGCGGGAATGGCAGGGGTCGAAAAAGCATGTGGAGTGGCTATGGCAGGGGTGAGGGGGGAACCTGAAGTAGCCGGAAGGGCAGTGCAGGCACGTGTGGTCGTTGAAGTCTGTACCGTCCACCTCTATGAACTGATGCACACACACGCACACAGGCGCAGGGAAGAGGGGGAGGTGGGAGGGGTGGAGGGACAATGAGAGTGGGAAATAAAAAAACAGATAGGTGTATGGCTTGACGAAGAGCATGAGAGAACGTTGGGATCGGGGGGGGGGAGTTTAGAAATGCAAGAGAGCAACAGTGAACAGGAAGAAATGAGAAGAGGATGCGCATGTGACAGGGAGACGAAGCAGTTAAGGAGAGACGAGTGAAAGGGAAGAACGGATGCAGGAAGAGAAAGCGAGACAAGGAGAGAGAGGCGTAGCGCTGGCAGGAAGGAGGGAGGGAGAAAGGAAAAGAAGGGGGGGAGGAGGGTGGGTGGGGTGTAGGGAGACAGGAGTGAGCACGCACAGTGATGGTGGCGGTGTCCTGTCCCTGTGTCCACTTCTCGTCCTTGTTGTAAATCCATGTGAGAGTGTGGAATCCGCGGCTCAGATTGAAGCGCACTTGTATCGGGTTGAACTGCTCCCAGCACACAACACATGCAGGGAGGTCATGTCATGGACCGGGGGGAAAGGGAGAAGGTGGAAGAAGAAGAGGGAGGGGAGGGGGGGGAAGGGAGGAGAAAACAGGGGGAGGACAGTGGCGGGAGGGTGAGGGTGGTGGGGAAAGGTGGCGCAGAGCAGCGCTGGCGGCAAGAGCATAAAAAGAATTAAGAGCGCTGCTTGTTATTGAAAGTGCAGCAGTTGTAGAACCACTTTGGAAAGTATTGGGGTGGGAAATACGGCATGATGAGCAATTGTCATGGCATGGTGCTGTTGAGGGCACGGCACGGTGCTGTTGAGGCGGTTCAAGAGGCAGGTGCGCGACGGCACGTTACCTGATCGGAGACGATGGGCATGGTGGGGCGCTCCGCCACATCAATGAAGAAGGAGAGCCCATCGTAGCCCGGCTCTGCACTTGCCGTGTAGTTGAACTTCACATACCTGCAATACATGCAAGGGGGAATGGAGGAACGGGGGGACGGAAGGAAGGGTGGGATTGGCGGTGATAAGGGATGAGAGAGAAGGGGATGTGGGATAAGGGAAAGGCAAACCAGCACAAAACGCATTCCCGTGGCATTGATGGCACACACGCACACGCGTGTGTGTAAACATGCGTGCACGGACACACGCACGCACGCACCCGTCACGGACGAGCTTGACAGGCATGGAGAGCGTGGCCTTGAGGTTGTTGTGGCAGTCCTCATCAGGGTCCGCTGCACACTCGTCCTGGTACAGGTCGTTGGGCTCATCGTATGGACCCGCCCTCACCACTCCCGCGTCCACCCGCCAGCTGCAGGGGGGGCGAGGGATGGGGGAGGTGGAGGGAAGAGACGGGGGGAGAAGGAGGGAAGAGAAGGGGGATTACTGCAGGGAAGAGGAGGGGAACGGGTAGGGAAGAGAAGGAGTGAGGGTGAAGGGAACAGTGGACACAAGGAGAGAGCAGACGAGAGTATGGCCCAGGCTCACAATAGATTTCAAATAGGGGCGGATGAGAACGGAAGGAGAGAAGGAGGGGGTTGCCAGGTGGGGGAGAGCTGCGTATATTGAGAGAACAAGAGGTATTTTGGGAGGGAGAGAGGATAAAAATGGTTGTGGCACAGGCAGTACCTTTGACAGGGATGCTTCCCTGTGACATTCATGTATTCACATGTCGTCTGCACATGCACACGCACACGCATGCACACACAAAAAGATCCACAGGAACCATGGTGAACAGAGGGATGGTGACAGGAAGGCCATGCAACATGAGCAGGAAAGAGGCAGAAGGTGAAATGCTTGGATGGTGTTTTGTCAATTTAAATGTGGAAATTGGGGGCTAGCGACTACAGTGGGTATGGTGGGAGAATGATGGTCTAATAGAGGGAGTTACAGTGAACAAGTTGGTATCCAGCTCCTCAAAGCGCTCCAGTCGCAGCCCACCGCCCATGCTGTACGTGCCTGATGGGCGCACGTGCACGGGTGATGGGCAGCAGGAGAGGCAGAAGAGACGCAGGTGGCAAGGGAGGGAATAGGTTGGGCTTGCAAGCATGCGGTGAGAGAAAGCAACGCAAGGAGACAATACGCAGGCTCACACTGACTGGCTATGAGTTGGTGGCTGGTTCATTAATCACAAACTGCTTGCTTGCTACGGCATGAGTGGGAGGGAGGAGTGGGGGGGGGGGGGGGGAAGTGGGGGAAGGATTAAGAGGGAGGGGGGAAGGAAGAAAGGAGGTGAGAGGCAGCAAGAGGATACACCCACCTGGCTTGCACTTGCGGCACGTGTCACGCTCCAGAAACGACCCTGGCCCACAGTTCAGGTCTGCCGCCAAGAGTGGGAGGGAGGGACGCGGCAGGCAAACCCACAGGGACGATATGGTTGGAGCAGGGAAGGAAACGGATCAGGGAGAAATGGAACGCAAACCAGGACGGACAGAGGAGAGGGGAAGGGGCGGAATGGTATGACTACTTTCCATTAAACCAACGTACACAGCCCATCAGCACACTGACAAAGTGGAGCAGTGGATAAGTGCACTACGTAATGAGGGCAGTGAGCACAGGTACTTCTGACGGCTTTTCATCACAATTAAGTGTGGTGAGCGTGTGTGCGCGTGTGTGAGCGCACCACAGGGGATGAAGGTGTTGGGCGGCAAGTGCACAGAGCCCTTGGTGCGCGGATTACACGTGCTGTCGAAGTAAAACACCACCTGGGGGGAAGGGGAGTGTCGGGCGGCGGAGACAGGGAGGAAGTAAAACAAGGAGGAGTCACAAGAGATACAGCAGGGAGACAGGAGGAAGGCCAGGAAGAGGGGGGGAAGAGCACGGAGGAGACATAGAGGAGATGTGAGAGACACGGGATGGGCTAAGGCGAGGAGATTAAAAAACAGAGAATACCTTGTGGGTTCAAAACGGAGGGTCGAAGGGGAAGGGAGAGGGAGCGGGAAAGGGGACCGAAGGAACTTGCTGCAAGGACACAACCTGCACACTGGGCAAAGAAACGGCAGTTAGTACCTCTATGGCGGGGACGAGGGTGTCATTGCCTGTAGCAGCTTTACTGCCAGTGGCACCAGCAGAAGCGGCAAGGGCGGAGGAGGGTGAGACGTTGGCACGGTAACAGGGCGAGTAAGCAGCGCGGATGTGCTCCTCCTTGCACGCCACGCTCTTGAGCTCTGCACACAGCCGATGCGGTACATAAATAAGTGAGAACAAGGACGGAACAGGAGAGGGTCAGAACAGAGATCAGAGGGTCGAGCAACGAGGGAGAGAGTGGGAGTTGGAAATAACAATGCCAGTGTGAACCAGGAGATTTAGGGCAAAACAAAGGAAGCAGACGTACAAGAGCCCCTCTACAAGGACCGACGAGCTCTCAAACCCACAGGAATACGAATACCCCTATGTGATTGTAAGAGCTTCGTACACAGTACACTCATGCCAGGGGCATACCCACGCTTGGGACGTGCGTGCTTAGCGGCCATAGTCCTCTTCTGAATTTTCTCATTGCACTCCTAACCCAGCCCCACAACAGCCTCCCAGTCCAAAGCACATACCTATACCCAAGCACATGCGTGCTGCCCATGCCCTAACGCAACCCTGAGAAATAAAAGCTTTATACTCTGTTCTGAATGCTGCACTACCGCAGACCGACAGTGTGCTTGCGTGGTGTGAGGGAGATGCAGAGAGGGGAACCTTACCACAATAAATGTCGTTGACCATTGTTCGGCTCACACCGTCTCCGCCAGTGCAGTCTGACACGCAGCAGCAGGAGAGACAATCACAGTAGCAGCAGCAGCAGCAGCAGCAGCAGCAGGCGGAGGAGAGAGCATGAGACAGAGGTGCGTGAATGAGTGAGTGAGTGACACATCATCTGTTTGAACGAAGTGTGTAATACGCTCTGGTTAACACACTGCTTGACATGCCGGGGCCAACACAAAACTACAAGTGGCGCGGAGGTGGAAAGTTAAATAAATGGGAAGCACATAATTGAGCGAAAAGCTTTAGAGTCACTTGAGGGTAGTCTGCTTACTCTCTGTCGTGAATGCCTCAATGCACTTATTGCTGCCTTCCTGTATGGCATAGACAGACGTGTAGTCCTCTGGACTGCATGCTGCGCGCGAGCGAAAACACGAGGAAGAAACGAGGCAATGCAGGATACACACAGGAGGCTGCATCAGAAGCCGCTCAGGACAAGAAGAGATCGATGTCACACCGGGAGTTGGAGCAGAGAGATGCGGGTTGCGGAGGTATACGGAATGCATTAGGATGTCTCGGTGCACGTACAGCAGGGCTCGTCGTGCACGCCTTGCACGGGGAACGGGTCGGCGCACTCGCGCATCTTCTGATACGACACTTCTCTGGAGCTCCCCGCGCCTGCGCGCACACACACACACACACACCAGGGACGGCACAACACCACACACACACCAGGGACGGTACGGCACCACACACACACCAGGGACGGTACGGCACCACACACACACCAGGGACGGTACGGCACCACACACACACACCAGGGACGGTACGGCACCACACACACACCAGGGACGGTACGGCACCACACACACGGCGTTTGCACGAGTGTCGTTGATCGACAAAATGGGGTTAAAATCTGAACTTTAAGCAAGAATCGTGTTCATCAAAACAGGACGTGCGCTGTAGAATGTCGTCGTCACTGTGAGTGTGGATGCTACGGGTCAATAATGGCGCATGAACTGCTCATGGATTTTTTCCTGCGCGGATCATCTCGTCCATGCGATCATCAAGGGACGGCTCAGATTGCGCCGAGCAAAAGAATGTGAGACGCAGGCACGCAACCCACATATGCTTAGACGCATGGCCAGAGAGTAGTGACGCTGATGCTCTCGGTCTTGCTGTAATAAGACTTCGAGATTATGCGACTTGCAATCATGCGACTCGCAACTATGGGTCTTGCGACTAGGAGTTAGATGCAGAGATACATACATGGAGTTGATACGCGAAGGTAATCTGTAGGATAACACCAATCCACGTCCTCCGCACTACCCATCGCCGTGCAGAAGAGCACGCATAGCGCGAGAGAAGCTAGCAACCGCGTCAGTTGCCGAATGTGGTTAAACCGCGACATCGAAGCTTCTAACGGGGACTCCATCGAAGAGGAAGAAAGGAGAAAGCAATCTCAACTTGCAAGTGGATAGTCCACTGAACCCACTCAGTCGGCAAGTAATAAGCTGTATGCGGTTATTTCATTGCTACAACACGCGATCTAGCGACTTAGAACGACGAAAAGGCAACCATCAGGTGTCTGAGCACAACAGTAGAGGTGCAGCTGTCGCGCATCACTAGGCCGAGTGTAGTGGCATCAAGACCTAAAAATCGCCAGTCATCGTAACGTGACTGGATAATGTTGCAGCTCCGAAACTATGAAGGGCAGAGCAATTCAGCCTGTCACAGACGGCCTCCTCCGACCCGACCATGGAAGGTGGTGGTGATAAACAGCAGGCACAATACCCAATCTCGAGGTCAAATTTCGTGCCGACAATCGGACGGTTCCTATCCGTGGTCCCGAATTCTTCTGGGGGTGTAGACTGAATCCATAGACGCGCTGTACACATACGGTACGATAGTTTCGATGTTTCCAAATCTCGACTACTGATTGTCCACCTCAATAACGTTCTCATCTAACCTTAACACAAAATAGCAATATTTCCCATAAAAAGCGTTGTATTCCCACATCTCCAAATTGGTTAGATTTCCACTTCAAAACGCCAGGTAATTTGGGAAGTCCTGGCCAACTACGTCCAACGTGAGGCATTCTCATCAAGCCTAGCATGACACAGACAGACTTTCACCCACCATATTTACATCCAGCCGCCTCCAACCCCTCCACACTAACTCCTGCTTGCTACAGCTGCTAACGCCTCCAGTTGCAGAGCAGATAGCTCACTGGAGCGACTCTGGCAACTCATAAATCGTGAGGAGAATTATGGAAATTGAATCAATGAATATAAAGGCGGCCTGTCACTTTTGACCACACTCCTGACTTGTTGAAAGATGCCAACGAAGGGCTCTTCCAGTCTGACCCAGACACCTCGTCAAGAATGAATGTCTTTTTCTGTCATGACCTTCACATCTGGCACCAGATGTGTCGTAATGTCATGGACGTCCACGAAGAGCCCGCTGCCAGGACCATGATCACACTGCTGCTTCTCCGCTGCCTTGTTCTGGCTTCCAACGCTGCGATCTTCGAAAAGTTTCTGCTGTCCCAAACGCTCTTCTACTTCCGAAATGGATGGACCTTTCTGCTTCTCATCGGACGAAAGGAGGGGACGACGCTCCTGTGACGACGCCATTTTCCTGATGAGCTACGAGTGAGTACATCTTTTCAACGAGTCGTAAGCGCTGCTTTGTAGCTCGTGAATGCCACGGAAGAAGCAAGAAAATGGACTTTTGCGAAACCTGGCAACAGCGTCCACAAGATAAGAGAATGCTGTTGCCATTTTCTGCTCTCTCAAGACAAGCGCGAGCCGCCATGGAGAGGCAACTACCGAAATGGTGCCAAGTGGCGGGTGACAATTGAAGGGACATGGTAGAAAATTGCAAGATTTATCTGTACTGGTAGTACGGTACAAGAGTTCTCGTGTAACATTAATGAATTGAATGACACCAACTGTTCTTAAAAAGCCTCTGCAAAAGGTTAACATGGTCACTACGCTTACTACTAACCTACCTAAAAGTTGTAATATTTCAAAGCAGATATATATATTTTTTATAAATAGATGTTACAACAATTTACTAACACTGATAGTCTTATACACCACTGGACATGGTACACTGACCTGTTCATCGAAACTCTGACAGCTCTGACGAGCATTGGGTGGTGGTAACCCACATTGCCTTGCTGCCAATCTCCCATTGCCGACCAGTGCCACCTCACAGATAGGCGAGGGCAAGGAACAGAAGAGAGGTTGAGCCCCCCAGTGCACGGCTAGTGAGAGGCAAGAGAAGGGGGCTGAAAACCCCAGACTGAGGCAAGGCAAGCGCAGAGGAGGGGGATTCCTCTGCCCCTTGCTTGCCGCAACCTGGAAGTCCCAACCCCCCTCCCCCCCCCTTGCCCTCACAAGCCTTGCCCTGGAAGCAGGCCCCTACGTTTGTTTTGAGGTAGTCTGACGCCTCAGAGTACACCCCTTTTCCTAGTCTGGCCGTCAGAGTTACCTATTTTTTTTAGTATGAAAATTCAGACAAGCACACTTTTTTTTGTTTGAACTGTCAGAGTTACTTCAAATTTTAAGATGTTCATGCAGTTTCATAACAGCATATTTACAATAGCATTGGAGCTGATTACAACCTACCAACGCATCAGGCAACGTGCTCCTGCATCGCCACTGCTCATGTCAGCGGCGTTCTGGTGTTTTTGTCACGTGCAGCGCATGGTCGTTTCTGCTAATCTCATTTCGTTTTGTCGTGTGTGTGATTACCGTTCTGTACCCATTTTCTCGTCTGTGTGCCAATTTTGTCAAATTTGGATTTGCGTTTCTAGCGATGCGATCGTTCACCCGATCTATATCAGGTGGGCCAAGTGCCACGCAGCTGAGCTGTCAGCAGGCAGAAACTGTTGCTTGGCGTGGCGTGTGAGCATCAGGTACTGCCACATGAAACTTTCACTACGAATCAGGACATTCGCAATATCACATGAGTGCGTGCTGCAGATGGTTTTACAGCGAATCAGCATCAAAGTCTCCTATTCTTTACAATACATTAGCGATAACTTACACGTGACGAGATTTTGTCTTACAAATCTATTGTTCTCGACGAACGATTTCCTCAGCGTAGCTGGAAGATATTCTCGACGAACGAGTGTATTCGGATATCCCAGCTGTTGAAGTGTGCGTTGCTCACGTCCTGGCACTCCACTGCCATCTCGGAAGTGGGCATATTGAATGGAAACTTTGTCAAACATTATATGTTTGTGTGGTTCTAGGCTGTAGTGGGTCACACCATAAGGGGTACACCAGATTAGGGTTTGATATATTTGTACTGTTGTTCCTGCTAGTCACTCCTCATTCTCGTTTCTCATTCTGACATGGTATTACGAGCCTAGGTTCCACCTAGGACCGAAACGATAGGGCCCACCGTTTCCGCTAGCCGCGCCCTCGTGCGCCGCCGTTCTTTTTTTCCTGCGCCTCGAGCGCCTCCTTCTCAAGGCCCCGTATGGCCCCGCGCTAGCCTCTCACGGCCCCCGATCGGCCCCGCGCTAACCTCCTAAGGCCCCCGTCGGCCCCACGCTAGCCCCGCGCTAGCCTCCTAAGGCCCCCGATCGGCCCCGCGCTAGCCTCCTAAGCCCCCGTCGGCCCCACGCTAGCCCCGCGCTAGCCTCCTAAGGCCCCCGATCGGCCCCGCGCTAGCCTCCTAAGGCCCCTGTCGGCCCCGCGCTAGCCTCCTAAGCCCCCGTCGGCCCCACGCTAGCCCCGCGCTAGCCTCCTAAGGCCCCCGATCGGCCCCGCGCTGGCCTCCTAAGGCCCCCGTCGGCCCCGCGCTAGCCTCCCACGGCCGCTGCAGGCCCCGCGCTAGCCTCTCACGGCCCCTTAAGGCCCCACGCTAGCCTCCCACGTCCCCTGCAGGCCCCGCGCTAGCCTCTCACGGCCCCCCCCTTTGGCCCCGCGCTAGCCCCGACCGGCCCTCCCGCGCTCGCCCCTCTACGACCGAGCCGCACGGCGCGACCCGAACCGAACCGCGCGACCCAGCCGAGCCGCGCCGCCCCAGCTGAGCCGCGCCGCCCTAGCCGAGTCGCGCCGCCCTAGCCGAGTCGCGCCGCCCTAGCCGAGCCGCGCCGCCCTAGCCGAGCCGCGCCCTACTTACCTGTGCACAGCACTACTGCTGCTACTGCTACTGCTACTGCTACTGCTACTATCACCACTGCTTCTACTGCTACTTCAGCTATGGCTAGCCCTACAGTTCTCTCGTTCGATTCTGAGGGCCGCCCGATTAAGTTTGATACCTGGCTCGATGATCTGCACCTGTTCCTCCAGCTCACTGCCAGAGAGGATATCTCGCTGTACGATCACGCACTAGGCACAGTCCCTGCTCCTGCTACTACTGCTACCGCTACTGCTCGCTCGCAGTGGCAGACTCGCGATGCCCACGCCCGCTTTGCCATTCGCAACTCCCTGCTAGTCGATGAGCGTGAGCACTTCAGCCAGCATCAGACTGCGCAGGCCCTGTACACTGCTGTAGTTGCGCGCTACTCCTCCCCGGCCTCAGCTGCACTAGGCCGTCTCTCCCTTCCCTACCTGTTCCCCGACCTGTCCGCTTTCCAGACAGTCGCTGACCTCATCACTCACCTCCGTACTAGTGATGCCC